GCCCCCTCCCCCTCCTCCCCCAGCCCCTCCCCCAGCCCCCTTGCCCTTCCCTGGCCACCCCCCAGCCCCTCCACGTCCTTCTTGTCATGGGGGGCTCAAAACTGACCCCAAGATTCAAGGTGTGGCCTGGTCCTGCTAGGCACCCTCAGTACCATGTCCCTTGCCCCCATGCCCACCCTCCACTTCTCTCTCTTCCCAGCGTGGTGTCCATGTCCACCCTCTACGTGCTGAGCCTGCGCAGTGAGGAGGACCTGGTGGATATCGATGGGTTGGTACCTGTGGGCTGCACGGGGGGGGCTGTGGGTGGCTGAGCAGGGCAGTCTGGAGCACAAGAAGCAGCATCTGAGGGGTGACAGAGCACAAGTCCAGGCTGTGATGCCAACCAGGCATGTCCACACCTCTGCATCTGGGGTCAGTGAAATTATCTGGAGCAAGAAGTGAGGAAAGGAGAAGGAAAAACAAACCAACCCAGTAGTTTGGCTGCTCTGAATGTTCCTCAGGTGCCTCTTCAGCTGGGCCCAAACCAGCATCATCCCACTGGTTGCAGTGGGGCTGGACCAAGAATTTTCCTCTGGACATGATGTCCATAGGGTGGAGGGACCAGCCTGCCCAGCTGCTGCTGGGCCTGGAGTTCCAGGACACTTGGTTCCCTTGGGAGCTCAAGTGACCAGATAACAAGTCTCTTCTTCTCTCTCTCTCCTCCCTGTCCCATTTCCCTCCTTCCCCTCCTGCTCACATCTCACCCAACCCATTTCCTCACTGACTCCCCTTTCGTTTCCCTGTTCTTCTCTCTTCTCACTTCCATGATCACCCTCCACATCCTCTCCCATGGCCCACCCTGTCCTCCTCCCCATCTTCTTCCCACCTCCCTCCCGTTGTCCTGCAGCTCCTTTGCTGTGCCCACTGCCTGTCTCCTGGCCCTCCTTCGGCACGGGGGTCCTGGGGTCCCGCTGGCTCTGTGCCCAGGGTATGTGACTGGTTCCTTCTCCTCTTCTGTCATTCCTGCCTCCCTTCCCTCCCTTACTCTTATTCCATCTTGCACCACAGAGGACCAAGGATCTGAAGGAGAAGTGAAAGCAGAAGGATTGGAAAACGGTCCAGCAAGGGGGGGACTCCAAGAGGAAGGGTCATGGCCACCCTGTCAGGGTGGGGGAATCAGGAGTAGGAGCTGAAGAACCAATTGATCTGGAGGTTCAGTAGGTGACATCCTCCAGGGAGAGCAGGAGCAGTTGGAAGGGGTTATGGTACCAAGATGGAGACTGTGAAGGATGAGCCAAAAATCCTTTCCTGTCCTCTTTTCATGAGTAGCTGTGTTGTGGAGGGTCAGTCTTAAGCACTGGGCAACTTCTTGTGCAAAAGCAGGGCAGGAGAAGCCCTGAGTTGTTCCTTTTTATGAGCCACCAGGGCTGGGGATGTTTGAGAGGAGCAGCCTGTGTCTCCTTTGCACCAGAAGAAGAAAGAGGTGTAAGAAGGTCAGACTTGCAGGTGACAAAGGGGTGGTTTGATTTCTCCAAGTGAGTGGAAGCTCCATTTATCTTTCAAGAGCTTTGGGGACAGGCCAAGCAAAATGTGGGAGAGAGACAACCACCTTCTCCTGGGCCTGGGAGGGGCTGGACAGGGAAAACCTTGGTTAGGAGCTCAGTGATGTGTCCTGCTCCGTGGACAGCCTGTCTCCAAGAGCTCAGGGCCACCTTCCTTGGGGAATGGGAAGTGCTTGGAGCCTGATAGAGACCCAAGCACGTAGATCCACCCTGGAGATGACTGTTGGAAATCACAGAATGGTTGGGGTTGGAAGGGACCTCTGGAGATCATGGAGTCCAACCCCCCTGCCAGAGCAGGCCCCCCTGGGGCAGGACACACAGATATCAGGTCCTCTCAGCACACCCTGTGCCATGGTGAGCACCAAGGGAGTGTGGCTGGTGTCCTCTGGACCAGGTGGGACTGCCACAGCATCTGCTGTGGCATCTCCTGCCTGTCCTTGCTGTCCTCCTGGCTCCTCTCCTTTCCAGGTCCATCCCTGCTCCACCTCACCCTCGTGCTCTCCACGTCTCTGCTCTTGCTCCATGTACCTGGTCCCATCACCCTGCTTGCTGCTACAGCTGCTTCTCCACCTCCCAGTGACCCTTTTGTCCCCCCATGGTCGAGGTTCTCACTGGGTTTCCCTGCCTTCCAGGTCCAGCCAGAGCTTTGACAAGACACAGCTGGTGAGATCCACGGCTGCCTCGGGCAGGGCCAGTGGCAGGACCCCCCCACGCCAAGGTAGGTCCCAGGGGGGCAGGAAACCTCTGCAGAGCTGTGAGATGTGCACCATGAGGGCTCGTCGTGCTGGGGCAGGAAGGTGGCAGCTCCTCCATGTCCTTCCCTGCTCTGTCTCCATGCTGGGAGGTCCTGGGCTCTGCTCTTTCTGGAAAGGATGGTGGGGGCACCTGGTGGGGCTCCTGTTAGATGCCTCTCTCCCTGACCTCGTTGGATGTGAGGAACAATTTCTTGCCTGGAGGAGGGCTCAGGCTCTGGAACAGGCTGCCCAGGGCAGGGGTGGAGCCACCATCCCCTGGAGGTGATCAAAACCCATGTAAATGTGGCACCTGGGGACCTGGTGTGGTGGGCACGGTGGTGCTGGGCTGCTGGTGGGACTGGGGGATCTTAGAAGCCTTTTCCAAGCTGAATGATTCCACGATTCAGTGACTTTCTGCCCTGTCCCTGCTGCTTCCCCTGCAGTCACAGAGGACACACACGACTCAGTCCTTGACCTCCCTGGTCCCAGTGTCCTGGCCTGCTTCAGCCCACCATGTTTCTCCACCTGCTGCTCTGCTGCTCCCACCAACCTCTCCTCTGCTGTCCTCTCTGAGACCGGTCCCACTCGTGCCACCAACAGGACAGGTAGGTCCCAGCCCAGCCCCCCAGGAGGTGCTGGGGCCAAGCTGAGTTATGTCTGTCCCACCGTGGCATCACCTCGTGTCTCCAGCCCCCTCTCCCCTCCTGTCTTACCTCTGCACCTCACAAGAAGGACATGCAACCCACCTGGTCCAAAATGTGCCTGTTTCCTGCTTGGAAACCTCCTCTGGCATGTTCAGACATCCTGGATTGTGCTGCCAGGGGGCTGGAAGGTGTTTGGAGCCACCTGCTTTGCCAGCAGCAGGTCACGAGAGGCTGCAGCAGGTTGGAGCAGCCCTACCTTGTGGTCTGACCTCCCCTGGAGCAGGGGTTGGCCATGCCAGGAGCTGGTGCTGCTCCATGGCTGCCCAGGCAGGACTTTCACCACCTTCCCTGCTCCATCTCTGCTCCCTGCAGAGCCCTGACCCCCTGGAGTCTCCATCCCCCCTCCCCCAGGTGCCCCCACCCCGATTCCCCTGCCCGGATCCCACCCCAGGCTCGGAGGGTGGGGGTGGGGGGTCATTCAGGAGGTGACAGGGGGACATCACATTGTCACTGCACAGGGCTGGGTGGCAGGGGGGAGGTCAGCAGTGCCACCAGCCTCTGCCTCCCAGCCCAACCTTCCCTCTCCCTCCTGTCCCCAGACCAAGGCCAGACTTCCCTCCTGCCGGCGACCAACATCAAAGCCAAGTCCAGGGCCACGATGGGGAAAGCCACCTCCTACACCAAGTGGCCCAAGGCCCCCGACAGGTCTCAGAGCTTCGGCAGCCCCAACGCCAGCCCTTCCTCCCCCTTCACCCACGGCCAGGCCAAGTCCAAGTCCATCTCCAACCTCTGGCTCCCCCGCAGCGACTCCCCCCCGGGGCAGGTCCGGCCGCGCCGCGGCCTCCGGGACCCACCAGGAGCTGATGGTAGGTGGGGAGCATGGAAGGGTTTGGGGTGGAGGGACCTCCAAGGTCATGCCATGGGCAGGGACACATCCCACCAGGCCAGGGAAATCCAGGGCTGGGGCTTCCAGGCTGGTGTGTCAGGTGCCACCCAGCCCAGGCAGAGCTCAGAGCCCCCATCACCTGGGCATGGACAGATCTAAAGGTGCTGCTGGTGCCACAGGTGGTGAGGGAGAGGGTGAAAAGTGGAGTTTGGAGGAAGGCCAGGCTGGCTGATGTGTTTCAGGTGAGGTTAGAGATTCACAGACAGGTTTGGGTTGGAAGGGAGATCATCTCATTCCAACCCCCCCTGCATGGGCAGGGACACCTCCCACCAGCCCAGGTTGCTCCAAGCCCCATCCAACCTGCCCTTCAACACTGCCAGTAATGGGGCAGCCACAGCTTCTCTGGGCAACCTGGGCCAGGCTCTCACCACCCTCACAGGGAAGAATTTCTTCCCAAGATCTCACCCAAACCTCCCCTCTTGCAGCTCAGAACCCTCCCCCCTCATCCCATCCTTCCCTTCCCTTGCAGAAAGTCCCTCCCCAGCTTCCCTGTAGGACAGTGAGGATGATGAGGAAAGGTGCTCTCAGTGCCAGGCATTCCTTCCATCCAGCCCTTCCCCCTCGGGGTCCCCAGGCCACCCTCCCCCCCCGTGTTCCTGAGCAGCCCCCTGTGCCCCCCACAGGTCCTGGCCCAGAGCTGCTTTCCATCCGGATCCTGGAGACCAACCTGCCCATCGTGTCCCGACACTGCGCAGCCCCTGGTGCCTGCAGGTCAGTGAGCCAGGGCTGCCCAGGGGGTTTCCAGGGCCACCAGCACCTTGGGAGCTCCTGAGGAACAGCAGATGGGCAGGTCCTGGAGCCTTGGACCCCTTTTGTGCCATCACCCCAACTGCAAGTACTGCAGCTTCTCTGGGCAGAGGAGTCCGGGGCTCTGAGTGTGCACGTGGTGATGGGTTCATCCTTGGGAACTGGCTTGGGAAGCCCTCTCCTCTGAAGTCTCAGGGACTTTGGGTCCTGTCCCAGCAGTCTCAGCCCCGTTGCCAAAGCTGTGGTGAGGTTTCATGTTCTCTCTGTGTCCCCAGGCCTGGGAACTTCACCTTCCGCATCCCGGTGAGCCAGCTGACAGCAGTGAACACCAACCTGACCCTGGAGATGAAGTGAGTGGGCAGGACTCATCTCCCTGCTGTCTCAGCACCCCTGAAGCTCCTGGACATGGTGCCATGTGGCCGTGGTGCCCCCCTGCCTGCTCCCTTCCAGGGACTCACCATGTGTGTTCTCCCCAGCTCCTCCTCTGCTGTGTCCATCTCCCTCTGTGGCCTTGTGTCCAGCGATCCCTGCCAGGAACCTGTGAGCACCAACAGCTCCACTGATGCCACAGACACACAGGTAGGGAGGGGACAGCTCCCCAGAGCCACAGCACAGCACCCAGCCCTGCAGAAGCAGCTCCACTGCTGACCCTGGACAGGTTGCTCCTCACCCCTCTCCATTGCTGACCCTGCAGAGGTTCCTCCTCACCCTTCTCCACTGCTCACCCTGGAGAGGTTCCTCCTCACCCCTCTCCACTGCTCACCCTGCAGAGGTTCCTCCTCACCTCCACAGCCCAGGGTTGTGTGGTTCCTTACCAGCCTGGCCTGGGAGAACATCTCCTCCTGCTCAGCCCCCATCTCATCCCAGCTCTCCTGTTCTCTCCCCCAGGAAACCACACACCGTTGGCCCCTGGTGATGATGTCCTTCCAGGAGTTCACCTACCACTTCAGAGTGGCACAGCCTGTGAGTACCAGCAGCTACTTCAGCTTCCCTCTTGCCCAGGGCTGAGCAGAAGGATGGGACCATGGCAGGGGCAGCAGCCACATGGCTCTG